CCGCCCGCCCAGGCAAAATTAGAAAGAAACAAACAAACAAAAAACACCTCCTTGAGGGCATCAGAGTGCTAACAAGGCAGTAAAAAGGTATGGAGGCTAACATCTGGGAGGGTAAGGAAATCCTCAGAAGTGAGCTGGGCCTCTGGGGCCATTTTTCCCAGGGGGCATGTGCCAATTCCATAAAGGTGGCTGAGAAGCTGGGCTGAACTTTTCAAAGATCCACAAGGCTGTGAGGTTTAAATACTGGAGATAAGGGACCAACACAATACCGGGGTAGGGAAATGGGGGTCTGATACCCCTGGTTTTATGTTGGGACCCCAAACACTCATATCGTAGGAGTAAAGAAAACGTACACTAGACCAGCCTCTGCAGACTCTGGAGCCCAGTTCTGAAACATGTTAGTCTCTGACTGGATTAAGGTGATCCAGGATTGCTAGTGTCACTAGCTAGCCTGCTACCAAAAGCACAGCCATGTGTCCCTTGAGGATGGGATACATTCTGAGAAATCAGTCCTTAGGCAACTTCATCATTGTGCGAACATCACAGAGTGCACTTACACAAACTTAAATGGTATAGCCTACTACACACCTAGGCTATCTGGTACTAATTTTATGGGACCACTGTCATATATGCTGTCCACTGTTGACGGAAACGTCATTATGCGGCACACGACTGTAAAGAAAAATCCTTTCGGGAAGGAGATATCATTTCTAAACTTTAAATTCTATCTATAATTTTTCATATATAACGTCTTAATAAAAAATATCCAGGTAGGGCCAGCCCTGTGGCCAAGTGGTTAAGTGCACGAGCTCCGCTTGGGCAGCCCAGGGTCTCGTTGGTTCGGATCCTGAGCGTGGACATGGTACCGCTCGTCAGGCCACGCTGAGGTAACATCCCACATGTCACAACTAGAAGGACCCACAACTAAAATATACAACTATGTACTGGGAGGACTTGGGGAGAAAAAGCAGGGGGAAAAAACAGGAAAAAAGTAGATTGGCAACACTTGTTAGCTCAGGTGCCAATCTTTAAAAAAAAAAAATCCAGGTATACGAGACTAAGACAACATGAGAAAAAAAAAATTAAGTGACTCAAAACCTACAAGAAAATAGCTACAGTGGATCAAGATAATGAAATGAAGTTATCCAATACAGACATGCTTAATATATTCAAAGAAATTTGTTTTAAAAATTGACAGTCATGAAAGACTGGTCCCATACCAAACCTTACTAACTTTAAAATTCCAAATCATACTTCACTTCCTAATCTTTAAATCAATCTCTGACTGATTCCTTAGGAATTCCTACAGCTAGTCTAAAACCTCCTTACTCCCTTTCGGTCCACGTACACCCAAAGAGAACACTTCACCTACTAAAGTAAGAAAAACCAGTCACTCAATCTAAAAGGATTCACACACTAAGAGACATGCCCTCTGATAGCCTTACTGGTCCATTCCCTGAGAGGAAACACACTCCATGAAGCTGCCACCAGAGTGAACTGTTGCAGGGAGCCACCAGAACTCAAATCAAAGGTTTTCAAGCATTTTACATCATAACCCATTACATACACTACATCTATATAGTGTATGTATACAGCATACATACACTGTGTCTATCTATACATAAGCACACTCAATTTAATTGAAACACAAATTTCAAAAAACAAGTCTTAGCTATAGTAATCAAGACAGGGTGGCTGGCATAAGGATAGACATATAGATTAATGGAATAAGAGTCCAGAAAAAAAACATTCTTTTTTTCTTTTTTTAACAAGAATGACAAGACAGTTTGATAAGAAAGCACAGTATTTTCAACAGTGTTAGAACAACTGCATATCCATATGCAAAAGACTAAAGTCAGATCCCTTCCCTATCATACACAAAAAAATTAACTCAAAATGGATCACAGACCTAACTGTAAGAGCTAAAACTATAAAACTCTTAGAAGAAAACAGAGTGATCTTCATGACCTTGAGTCAGGCAATGGTTTCTTACATACAACACCAAAAGCACAAGCAACAAAGAAAAAAACAGATAAATTCTATTTCATTAAAATCAAAATCTTCTGTGCTGCCACAATACTATCAAGATTGAAGGGGCCAGCCTGGTGGTGTAGTGGTTAGGTTTGCATGCTCTGCTTCAGTGGCCCAGGGTTTACAGGTCTGAATCCTGGACACGGACCTACACACTGCTCATCAAGCCATGCTGTGGCAGCATCTCATATACAAAACAAGGAAGAATGGCCCAGATGTTAGCTCAGAGTGAATCTTCCTCAAGCAAAAGGAGGAAGATTGGCAACAGATGTTGGCAAACATGGCAACAGGGCCAATCTTCCTCACCAAAAAAAAAGAAAGAAAGAAATTGAAAAGACAACCTGCAAAATAGAAAATACTTCTAAATCACATCTGATGAGAGACTTGTATCTAGACTACATAAAAAACACAACTTAATAATAAAAAGATAAATAACCCATTTTTTTCTTTTTTCTTTGTTTTTTTGCCAAGCAAGATTCACAATCTTCCTCTTTTCGGAGGTGAGCCGCCAAATCACGGCCACTAACAAGTGGTGTAGGTCCTCGCCCAGTAACCAAACCCAGGCTGCTGAAGCAGAGTGCGCTAAACTTCACCACTAGGCCACAGGGGCTAGCCCTAATAACCCATTTTTTTAATGGGCAAAGGTTCTGAATAAACATTTCTCCTAAGATATACGAATGCTCAATAAGCACATGAAACAATGATCAACATCATCAGCCATCAGAGAAATGCAAATCAAAACCACAATGAGATACTACTTCACACCCACTAAGATGGCTATATCAAAAGAAAGACAATAACAAGAGTTGACGGCATGTAGAGAAACCAGAACCTTCATATCTTGTTGGTGGGACTGTAAAATGGTGCAGTTACTTTGAAAAACAGTTTGGCAGTTCCTCAAAATGTTAAACATGGGGAA